TAGAAATATTGAGAAGATTCTCACAGATAATGTCCAAAATTTTCCACCCTTTTTCTTTTGCCTAATTCTTCAGACATGAAACTCTAATCCTTCTATTTTCCTAAACTACCAAGCCCAAAATGTTCTCATTCTTTTGAATTCCCTCACATTTAAATACTCCATTCTTTAAACAGGAAAACAAACAAACAAATCCAAAAATATCTTTAATATAAATTTCCTTAGCCAGGTGTTAATACTTTATGAATTATTTCCAACCCTGAGAAAACTTTTCTTCAAAAACTACTTATATTTTCTAATAGAGTTCCTATTCATTATATAGATTTAGAGAGCAATTCTTAAAACTATAATGTGAGTCTCAAAAACTGTGTAATATACACTTACATGCTATTTACTAAATATTAAATAATTTTAAAACTTTAAAGACCCAGATGACAAAAAGCAATTAGCCTACAGTTTATTAAAAGAAATGGCCTTCTTCTTTGGTTGAATATGTATTTTAAATTGGGGAATATCTGATTAAATTATACTGTCTTTACTGTGATCAAAACAGAAGAACGGCAGGGTAATAGAACTGATTTTGATTAGCTAATTTTACCTGAGTAGCTTTATCTTTCATGCATGAAGGGTAATGAAGATGAGGATCCCGGGGCCACTGTCCTGTGAGATAAGGTCCTGTTATCGTATCCAAAGAAGAGGTTCGCCTTATGGTACTAGAGGTTCGAACTTGCTGAGATTTTGATCTGTCCACTATAAAAAGTAAAAAAAATAAAAATAAAAATAGATTAATCACTAATGAATAAAGTAAAATTCAAAGTTATTTAAACTTCATAGTTTGTGGAATGTCACCCTATCAATTTTCCCTACAATATTTTTACCCTAAGAGCTCTCTATGATTTGATGAAATGTATAGACCCTCTCCAAAGGAAAACTCATTCACATATTAAATCTTCCATGTACTTCCGGGGCTGTCACAAACCCTACAAAGCCCATTCATTTTAGAGACCTATTCTAACATCTACTTATCATCTCCACGGCCATTACTTTATCAGAATCCATCAAGTCTCACATGGACTGCCACTTTCCTAACTGCTATCTCTGCAACCACCTCAACTAAATCTAGAGTGCCACTTTCTTCCACTGCTAAAAAACATTCCCATAATTATTGTCTTTAACTTAAAGCCTATATTTTTGACAGTTTGGCTCCCATATGCCTCAATGCTTAATGTCTTGCTACTCTTCCATAAACCCACACAAAGTGCCACTCAAACTATTATAATTGCACTTCACCAAATGTAAGACACTCCCTTCTCTGTCTCCATACATTATACTATTTCCTGAGCCTAGAACTCTCTCCTTCCCTGTTCACTTGACAAACTCTTTATTTCTTTAAGATTTATGAACCCTCCTCTGCTTGCATGGAACCTAGCTTTATCTCTCCCCCCACCAGAGCATACGTTTAGTTGCTACAAACTGAAAAGGAGTCAATGCTCAGTACTTAATGAATTTATTTACAGCTACATAAAAATAACGTGTATAATGAAACTTACAGTTTATTTCAACTTCCCCATTTATGGATGAAGAATGTGAAGCCCAGAGGGATAAAACTGAATCACCAATGAAACAGAACGGCTAACAGGTGACAGAGGTAAAAAGGGACCAAGATCTTTAGACATTCTACACAGTTCAGTCAAAACACTGTAACAAACTACTTCTCTCCATATGGGGACCACAGGTACCTCTGTTGAAAATTAAAATGATCACACTGAACTAAACTACAGAGGATTTTTCACATGTACCTCCCAAATAATTTACTATAAATGTGCATTCGATAAAATCCAGTGGACTGCAAGCTCCAAGACTCACAGTCTTACTCAGTTATACTTCACATCAAACAAAATGTCTTGCACATCACAGAGGGTCAAGAAGTTGTTATTGAATGCCATCCTNAGAGAGAGAGAGAGAGAGAGAGAGAGAGAGAGAGAGATTTTCTTCATTCATCTGTCAATGGACACTTAGGCTATTTCCATATCTTAGCTATTGTAAATAATGCCGCAAAGAACATGAGGGAGCATGTATCTTTTTGAGTTACTGTTTTCATTTTTTTCAGATAAATACCCGGAAGTGAAATTACTGGATCATATGGTAGTTCTTATTTTTCATTTTTTGAGGAACCTCTATATTGTTTTGCATAATGGCTACAGCAATTTACATAGCCACCAGCAGTGTATGAGGGTTCCTTTTTCTCCATATCCTCACCAACACTTATTTCTTGTCTTTTTGATAAAAGCCATTCTAACAGGAATGAGGTACTATCTCACTGTGGTTTTGATTTGAATTTCACTGATGATTAGTGATGTTAAGCATTTTTTCAAGTGCCTGTTGGCCATCTATCTGTATGTATGTCTTCTTTGGAAAATGTCACTTCCAATCTTCTGCCCATTTTTTAATTGGATTGTTTTTTTGCTATTGAGTTGTATGAGTTCTTTATATACAATAATTTGGATGTCAATCCCTTATCAGATATGATTTGTAGATATTTTCTCCCATTCAGTAGGTTGCCTTTGCATTTTGTTGATGGTTTCTTGTGCTGTGCAGAAGCTTTTTAGTTTGATGTAATTCCACTTGTTTATTTTTGCTGCCTTGTTTTTGGTGTTAAATCCAAAAAATAGCCAAGACCGATGTCAAGGAGCTTATCGCCTATGGTTTTCTTCTAGGAGTTACATGGTTTCAGGTTTTATGTTCAAGTTTTAATCTATTTGCAGTTGATTTTTGTGTATGGTGTTAGATAGTGGTCCAGTTTCATTCTTTTATATGTGGCTGTCCAGTTTTCCCAACACCATTTATTAAAGAGACTGTCTGTTCTTTCCTCACTGTATATTCTTGGGTCCTTGTCATAAATTAATTGATCACATAGGCATAGCTTTATTTCTGGGCTGTCTATTCTGTTCCATTGATCTATGTGTCTGTTTTTATGCCAATATCATATTATTTTGATTACTGTAGCTTTGTAATATTGTTTGAAATCAGGGAGCATGACACCTCCAGCTTTGCTGTTCTCTGTCAAGATTGTTTTAGCTATTCAAGGTCTTTTGCAGTTCCATAAAATTTTAGAATTGTTTGTCCTATTTTTGTGAAAAATTCTGTTGGAATTTTGAAAGGGATTTCATTGAATCTGTAGATTGCTTTGGTCAGTATGGACATTCTGAACAATATTAATTCTTCCAATCCTTGAGCATGGAATATCTTTCCACTTATTTGTATCTTTAGTTTCTTTCATCAATGTCTTACAGTTTTCATTGTACAAGTTTTTCACTTCCTTGGATAAGTTTATTCCTAGGTATTTTATTCTTTTTGATGACACTGTAAATGGGATTGTTTCTTAATTTCTCTTTCCGACAGGTTCATTATTAGTGTATAGAAACATCAAATTTCTGTATATTGATTTTGTATCCTGCAACTTTATTGAATTCATTTACTAGTTCTAACAGTTTTTTGTTGGGAATCTTTAGGGTTTTCTATATATAGTAT